ATTCATCCCCATAATAATCTTCTATGAGATAATACTTTTCTTCCCACTCATCATATGTAAATCCGATGGTAACCCAAGCATCCGTGTTAAGAATATCAGGATGCTTATCACATAACTAGTGGAATAATACATAATAATAAGTCAATAATTATTTAAACTATTCAATAAACATGACGCATAAGTAAATAGTTTACCTCGGCATAATATAAATCATGTGTCTCATCTGTTATCTCAAGTGGAATCAATCCAACACGAGTATAAATAGGTAGACCATTCAAGTATACACCATATCCCTTATCACTAATACAATCGAATGGAATCCATTCCAAATAAGCATTATTTGGCGAGTTTGTTTGCAATTGAGATTTCTTTATAAACTCATCAAGTTGTATGTTGTTGCTGGTCCATCCACTGGATAATTGTTTATAACCGCAAATGCACCACACGGGGCTACATCGGAGTATTCCACATGCAGCGCAGAATCCATATCGAGAATAACAATGATGAAACTTTTTATCAGCAACCATGTAATAGTTATTATCATATTCGGTAAATCCCATTATGAGTTTGTTACGATGATCAAGCCAATTTGCATATCGTCCGAACCGATCAATATCAATGTTATTGTTGTACTTGTGTGTTGGCAGCAGTGAGTATAATCTGGCAAACTCACTCACCAGTGTTGGTGTACATTCTTCGCTACTTGCAAGGAATAGCAGCATAACCATCGTTCTATCATCGCTATCACTACGATCATGTGTTCGCTTGCGAACAGCGTAATGAATAGTGTCAACTTGGCTTGACGTTCTGTCGATAATTTGTGAGCAAGGAATCCATTCAAGTCTTAAGAATTCTTTTTCGCTTTCCAACGAGGATTGAATCAAGTTGTCAACTGCTGGACTACGCATGTCCCTAACTTTTGGAACTAGTGACGACGACATCGTTTGGTATTTCAAGATGATATTCTTGTGTAGCAGTTTCTGTTGCACAAAGGCGCAAAACAAAGGATTATCATTACAATACAATATAATATGATAGTTGTAAAGCACCAACCTCTCGATTGAGCTATAAGCAACAAAATCTTTGAATTCATCATTATTATGGAGCAATCGACAAATACAGTACAGTGTTTCTCAAAATAATCGTGGTTTACATGGCATGACGAATTAGATGCTTCCTCAATTACACTGAAAAAAGGTTACTCATTTACTCATTCCACTCTTCCCCACAAACCAGTGACATTATTAAAAAGTCATCGTAATTTGCTCAAACCATCAAGCAAGAGAATTCAATAAACCTTCGAATTAATCGAAAAATTGCGCAATTTAATATTGATATTAACTAGTCTATATTATCAACTCAGTAACCTGGGCAAAAAATTTATTTATAACAGCTCACAATAACAAAGAAAAGCATTGACTTGGTGGCCGCGTTCCCGATACTTAAAATTTATTTTTTTGTTTGACGTTTAGTATATTTTCTCGCGTCAATTGAGATAAACAAAATTTAGTACGAGCGAAAACATTTACAGACGTCGTTATAAATGGGAAAAAAAACAACAGGTGGCTTCCCAAACTCATCTGATATTACATTTATCGCAACTAATTCTATATCAATCGGGAGTGTTTGCTTTGTCTCGCAAGTATTCCTGTGGCAAGTTCGGTTACAGAAAGCGCGTTTTATATAATTACAATTACATCTAACCAGGAGACTACCAATCTAATTGCAAGGAGAGAGTGGTGAGTAACTTGAAAAATAATTATCTGGGATCAACGTTCATGCATTGATACTAGTTAAATTAAACTATCGCTCTGCTAAAATAAAAGCTAAATCCAAAGTGTTAAGATCGAATCGTTTACACGACAGCAAATGGTTATATCAATATGCCAAATTAACGAGTAAGTTTGCAAGCATCGCATCCATTATATAATAACTGTTGGTAACAAAAAGAATGCTAAAATCAACCTCAAGTTTATCACTCACGCTTTTATGACAAGATAATGTCATGATTATCCGGACTCTCTAATTACTACTATTGCGGCCAAAATATTTCAGTACACTAATAGTTGTCATTTTGTAACAACCCTTTGAAATTGCTCCGCTTTCATTCTACAACATTGTTACACTAAAGTCACGTTATCGATCAGATAGATTTTTTTAATTTTCTACGCCCTCAAATATTTTTTCAACTACATAATAATCAAAAAATGGAAAAACGAAAATCAAAATCTGTGGCATTCAATCTAGACCCACAACCAATGGAACTCTCTGATGTTTCTCAACCAATAACCATCCCCTCACCATCGTCAGCAACTGACCCGGATATTCTCCAAGAAATTCCTATATATTTTTCCCGTCAGCTAGCCAATAAACTTTCACTCTTACAATATCCAGTCAGACCACGCGCTCATCCATATACTGCATCACATGTGCCACTGGAAGCACGTCTGAAACCCAAGTCACAAGTCCTCGAATTGGATATTCCTCTGCAGCCAAACGAAACCTGGTATAATCGAGATAGGGGGAGGGAATTGGCATTGGGATTAAACGATAAAGAAGCAAAGACCATTTACGATAAGGATGATTGGGATTTTGACGATGATGACACCTCACGCGAACATGAAAATCTGATGCATAAGCAGACGTTGACTGCTACAATCATACCTGCTCAGGCAAATTACATGATTGCTGTGATGCATAACGGTATGTACTTTCGAGGAGGCGATATTTGTGATAGCATGGCACATGGTTATATGCAAAGAGGAACGATATTTTCAAAGACTTGAGCCCACCATCATGCACAAAAAATGTTTTTGCATGCCATCTCATACACCATTCTCATACCCTCGTTCCCGGCAGGACAATTGCATCTGACACCTGTAAGCACTGCCTATCAGCTTCGTCCAGGGCTAAAGTATCTCGATAGAATCGACGAGAAGCAAAAAGTGGCCAATAAGAAAGCTACGGAAGAGGAGAATGCGCTCAAGGATAAGAATCTTGGAAAATCGGCCGAAGATGATAACGTGGGAGAAGGATCCAGTTCGAGTGCGCGTGCAAAGGGTAACAAGGCCATCCAGGTATAAAAAATGAAGATGGGTGTGTCCCGGATAGACAACTAGCGGACACACAACACTTGTTATTTACTGATTCTGGACAACAGTGCTTATGCTTTATTACCACCACTACTTTGACCATCGTTCTTTATATTAGGTTTCGGTAAAATCAACAGATCCAGATACCCAAGGACCCCGTAAGAATACCTTTTCGCTCGTAAACCGCTTAGCCGATTCCGAGAGATGGGTGAAACTTAAATACTATGACGTTGATGTTAGATATTACTCTTTCTTTTCTCCCGTCGGGCTTGGTCTCCTGCATACGTCACCACATTCGAAGAGTTAACCCATCTAATGCGTATGTTCTTTTTTTCTTAATAGACAGATGAAGTGGCGGAAGTTTACGATAAGCTGGTTGCCGAAAAGTCGGATGAGTTGCGACCCATAACAACAAAGAATGACTATGTCAAAGTTATAGGTACACCTAAGAGTGTGTGAGAGGTAAGTTTGCAATATATGTCTATAAAGAATACCCCAAGGCGTTTTTTTGGAGAAATGCAAGTCACGGTTAGTTCGTGGGTTGGACTTTGTTAATGTGTACATGTCGACAGACTGTAGAGTGTTTACCTTTTTGACTATAGAGAGAAATTCCATACCTCCTGATTCACCTTTTAATAAATTCTTGACGATGCTCACTTTCTCTCACCATCATTGACAGATTTAGCAAGCATATGACTTTATCCGTGTCGACCATGGGTGCCAGACGGTTAAGCTATGATCAGTGGTGCATCCTGCATAATTCTGACAAGACCGTCAGGGATAAGGCAATATGACATGAAAAAGTCGAAGGCAGCCTTGCGGACAGTTTCGTTCTGGGTATGATTGGCGACGCAAGATAGCAGTAATTGCCTCGTGAAAAGTTGGGAAACGATGATACCTGTCTGATAACTAGCTTAAGATTATGTGCTCGAGTATCGGATTTGTCATTCAGCGCGAGAATGCGGAAAATGTCGGCATCTACGTGTGTCTACTACATCGGAATAACTCCGAGAAATGAAATGTTACTGAATCTCTGGGAATAAAATATTTATATGGCTTGCGTGTTACATGTCTTTGAGTTTTATCGTCGTTTTCTTTGATCCCTTATCACTATTTAAAAGTTCAAAGAAATAGGATGCATTCTCTTCACTAGTATGTATATACGGCCACTCTAACGTGCAAGAGAGATGCTTCACAGTCAGATAAATTTTTACACGGGCGCTGCTCGATTCCTACCCAAAGTGCGGAACTGTCGAATTTGGTATTAATCTGTATTAATGCTTGTGATTCTGGGCTGTCTTTGTTTTCGTCAAATCTGCATATTTTACCGGAACCGCTATTGATCCCAATCGCGTCAGAAAAGATCGTACGGCACGCACATACGTACAGTAGATCTTTTGATCACGGTATCAGGCAAATGTAAATTGTTTCCAAGAGAAGCCAAGCATTATCAACATCAAGAGTAGAGACATTCTGTTATCGTGACTTTACGCATACTCCAGATTGACAATATTCTCAACTTTGTGACACAAGCTACTTAAGAATCAGATGACCTCACGAATGGCTTCCAGCCAATAAGAAATGAGAATGTGTTGCACGGCATGTCCGCTGGAAAATTTTTTCCACGTTTCGAACAATTTCTTATGTTCTTCCTCTCTCCGTTGACGTTAATCCCTCCCCCAAAGTCCTCGATCAAAAGGTTAGTTCACTTGCGCAAGCCTTGTCATTCAAATAGCAAAACATTCGACTCGCATATTCTACAAAACGTGAACATGAATGTGCTTTTCCATGTCTTTTCCTCAACGCTTAGTAATCTGTATATTGATTAAGTAAAAATTGTTACTTGACAACTATTTACAAACGCTATGCAAATTTTTTTTGCATTTGTCTTTAATTTATATATAGAAAATGGTTGGTGGTGTATCAGTCAAGGACGTAAGTTCACATGAATTCGTCAAAGCCTATGCTGCCCATTTAAGGCGGTCCGGCAAATTGGAAATACCAAAGTGGGTCGATCTCGTAAAGTCCGGTTCATATAAAGAACTAGCACCTTATGATCCTGACTGGTTTTATATCCGTGCTGGTATGTATATTGGCAATTTAATTTTGAAATTGTCAGGAGGGAATTACGTATGTTAGGTTTGTTGCTGAGAGGGAGAGAGAGTGAGAGCGAGAGAGAGATGGAAAGAAATACGATGTTGAAGTGCTGCAATGAACAATATTGGTACTCACAATCAGCAACCGAAACTAAGATGCTGTTATTTTCTATCTTTTTTATTAGCTGCTGTCGCCCGACACATATATTTACGCAATGGTGTCGGTGTAGGCGCACTACAAAAACGATATGGTGGTCGTAAGAGAAGGGGAACTAGACCCTCGCATCATTCTAAAGCCTCGGGTTCTGTGGCTCGTAAAGTGCTTCAAGCCCTAGAAAAAATCAGTGTGTTGGAGAAGGATCCAAAAGGGTAAGTCGAGATCAGTCATGTCCGTATTATTACCTGTCTTTCGAGTCGGGATAAGTAGTCTTATTTTTCTCGTTCCTGTCTTTCTTTAGGGGCCGTCGAATCTCACAAGCCGGTCAACGAGATCTTGATCGCATTGCTCAAAAAGTAGCTCAGAACAACGAGATATGAACAAAATGTCGGCAATGGTCATTCGGTGACATGAAACTATACTAATAAACGTTACACTGATGGTCATTACCAATGAGGAGGCTCTTCTTTGCATGATATATGATTCTGATTAAAACGTAACGCGTTGTGGATATCGTGTTTGGCTTCATATTCGTTTTCATGACCATATCAACTTTGTCGATGAGCGAATTTCCCATGCCTTGGGCCTTGTATGTCTTCTTGTAAGATTTGATGACTTTCTTCGAATGCCCCGCAACTCTTACAAATGTTACCAATATTTCAAAGTGTTCTTGGACAAGACGATTTAATCTTTGACTTAAAAAAAAATAATGTTTTTATTGTAATAATCAAAAGGTTATAAAATTTCGTGCACCGTATGACGTAATGCATCTGAGCATGTGCACGAACTATTATGTAATCGAGTATAATGATAACAGTCAACTGTCTTTGCGTTCCGGAGTCATCAGTCGAATAATATTAAAAATCGAGTCTTGCTCAAGACGATCGAATTTCTAGGAAGTCGAATTATAGGGAGTTGAATCATAAATCGTGAATTCAATGGTAACACAATAATATCAGTTAAACAACATGAGCCAATTTTATTGTAATATTTAACACACTGCCTAGTCTAGCTATTTTTTTTTTCCGGACATTTAGGCTTGTCATGCCACACCCTCACTGGTTTTAATGCTTGACTGGTCTCAACTCTTCTGCTCGCTTGATTCGCTTGATTCGCTTAGAACCTTTCGGACTATCGCTATTAGTGATGTTGTTTTCGTCAGTCTGATTATTTTCTTGTCCACTTTTTTTTTGCATTTCAGTGAACAAATCTGCAGTTTCTTGAGAATATCTCGCTTGTGAATCGAACGACTCTTTGTTTAATATCTCGTACACTCCCCATGCAGTTTTCGCTCATTGATATCTTTGCTTTTTCCTCTCAGGGGTCTGCTGAAGATACAAACCAATCAATTGTATTACGTTTAACTAGTTCTGCTGATGAATATTGGAAATTATTTTACCAAACTGGTAGTAACATGATAAAGTGTTTTTATGAATCTCTTTGTATCATGCTTTGTGAATAAGTGTACAGTTACTCAACGCATTATTATTTCATTGTTTGCGGTAATTCATTGAAATTATTCGCGCGTTGTCTTCTTGAGAACGCAGCGGACACCACTCTTCGCGACGTAAATGATGTCTGACCAGTCCACACTTGTAACGTACCAATTTACTTACGATGTGAATAAGTGTGAGAATATTTGGTTGTAGCGAACAGCCTACGCGTAAGCAAGCGCATAATAAATGTCAAATAAAATACAAGACTATTAGACACTGGCAGGCAAACAGCCTACGCGTAAAGCACATAATAATTGGCGCTTACGAATCCATAGGTAGTACGTTATAACTTATATACTTATTTGCATGCAGCCGCATAATACATTGGCAAATGGCCTCGTCCTAACCACAAACGAACGAAAAGACACTTTGAGAAGAGTAACCTACCAGCGGCAGCAGTGTGTGCAGTTTACAATGACGTTAACATGAAACGCTGATTGGCTGCATGGGTATTTTATCGGCATGCTTCTCAAATGCAAGTTATAAATAAGTTGTGAAATTTAAATAAGCTAATTGCATGTGTGGCCTTTAGTGTTGCCTTCGCATCCGTAGGAAACAGAATATTGGACAGTTCGCTGGAAGCCCAGACAAGGGTGCAGCAGATAAATGTTCTACTTATATCATCTAAATGACAATTTCAAATTTCTGTTCTACGTAAAGACCCGGAAGAAGGCAATAATGTACCATTAAATGGTATAAAAACCATAATAAAGAAAATATAAAAATTATATAGTGGGTATTTGGAGTAGTGGTGAATATTGTGGCGAAAATCCTTATTGTCTCTATCGTTATATCAAAATTTAATCCCAATAGTAACAATAAAACCATAGACTAATGATTTCTCGCATTACAGATTGCGTATTAGAAAATTAAATCATATGCTTGTAATACACTCGAAATATCATGTAACAATTATCCCAGATATAGAACAACGCATTATCAATCTTGATCAATAAATCAACTATTTTTCTATCGCTGGCTATGCATATTCCACGAGACTATGACATTCCTCCGAAATACTTATGCTGATATCATTCTCGGGGAAATTATACAGTATTTTAGGTTGCTTAGAATTTTAATTTTACCTGAAAACAACGTCCGCCACTATCAACATTTCTTGGGAAAATAGTAGCAGCAAAAATTAGCCAAACCCAGTGGACAATACGAGACCTCTTGGTAACACAATTAACAATTTATCGAAACGAATTAGATGCTGAATACTTGGACTTTGATTATAGTGTAAATGTATACTTAATGATATGTACAGTATGTTGTGTTGTACCATGTCAAAACCTGTCCCATTCAGAATCGAGGCAGGTTTCGAACTGAGGTATAACGTCTATAATGGTATTTATTCGGTATAACTGTACATATGGTACTGCACACAGCCAAACAGATTATGGTGAAGTTACTGAATATGCGGCACGTAACAACGAAATTTACTTGTACATTTCAAACAAACAAGATATATCTTCGATTATTATTTTCCGTTTAGTAGTAAAGACATTTCTTATAAACTAAATTGCGATGAGATTTTGTATATCGCGTTAGGAATGAAATCGATTCAATAATTGGTTCAGAGATAGACAAAGTTTTTTGTCGTTGTCTTCCAATTGCCATTTACTGAGCGACATGCGTTCTCTGAACTGTTGTATGTCCGAACTTGACATACGTGTATATTAATATGTCAGATTGTAATAATAAAAACAATCAAGTAACAATATTATAAAGCGTTTATTGACATTACGTATCAATCTTATGTGCGTATAAAACAACTGGGTTTGTTTTATTAGTAAAATCTTGTACCATATTTATACTTTCAGCAGGAGGAGATAATTGTGTATAAGATAAACTATTGAACAATTGCTGTGTTTATATTTACGTGGTTATTTAAGGAAATGCAAAAATAGGAAAGTTTGGTATCGTAATTTTTTGGAAGCCAAAAGACATAAACTATTTATGTTGTTATATTCGGAAATTGGCAATAAATAATGTAATTATTGTTCTTTTTATTATAATCAATTTAGAAAAATATGTAAAATATGAGACGTTTATTTCATATTATGTCTGACCAATGATCTGTTTATGGTTGCAGATAACTATACAATTCATGTGTATCATCATATTGTAGAATCAAATGCCATGACTGTTACTATTATTCTTGGCAAGCATAGTTAGAGAGCATAATAATAACAGAGAAATTGACTGGAAACAAACTCTGCTGCTACTGTTTATCATGTTCAGGTCCAAAAATCTGATCCATGCACCTTTAGTGTTCACTCATAAGGGCGACTAATACAATCTGCTGCTCTAAACGCCATATGGAAGGCTTGTTACGGTCGGCGTCCACAATAGGGTTGGGAGAGCAATTAATTGCGTAGATGCGTTCTGCCGAGAGGGGGTTTTTCACAATTTAGCTCTTGTTACTGCAACGATTGCTCACTTAAAGCTGAACTAAACTGAAAGTGACAATAATTATTTATATCCGCGCTTCTCTTCACTCCCTATACGATGTATTTCTCCTATACTCGTATCTAAATAAGTACCCACGATAAATAAACAACAATCTATCTACCGCGGAATCGAAGGGAAAATTTTCTTTTACTAATTTTAAACCAGGCCAGGGAGAACTTCGATTTAGTGTTTTGACTAGTCAAGGAATGTCACTTGTCTAATTATAACAACAAAGGATTTAAGTTATCAATCGAGATACTCTTGCTTACCGCAACTACGGGTCGTTACCGATCTATTGCGCTGACAACTAACGTTTAAATACAGCTACGGGTCGTTACCGATCTACTGCCGATAGTTAAGTCAAAAAGCTTAGTTTTCACGACGATAGAA